AATCCAAATCAAATAAAACACAAATATATTTACTTACAAAAAAAGAAGTTTATTTGCTCAAAACATAAGCTGGATGTTATATATCGAATCGAATTCTGTAATTATACATACATATATTTATATAATTCACTTAAAATCAGCTAAAGTTTGAATAAATCTTTTTCAAAATAATTATTGACTGAATGAAATTATTTAAAAGTTTGATTTTTTTACATTTACATTGTTTAATTATGTTTAAAAGAGAAGAACAACTTAATGTTATATATTTTATATTATTAATATATATATATTTCTGCTTTTTGTTTTCGGTTACTTATATAACTATAACTTAATAGCTAGGATCTGTTGTTTTCAAGTGGGGTAATTTTATTAAATTATTAAAATAAAAAAGTATGACTTGAAAATAAGTATGTATAAGTTTTAGATAAACAAAATTACAATGTTGTCTGATGTCATAGACAAATAATGTTTGTAATAAAAACAGTTATTAATGGAAAATTACAATAATAAAACAAATGTGCTTTGCACAACCAAAAAAAAAAAAAAGAAATTAAATTGTAAATTAAAAAGTACATTTTAAAAAAGTTATATTTATATAGCTGTTCATAAACATATAAATATGTATACTATATAATAAAAATATATATGTATGCTTGTAATTATTTATATTTGTTGTTGTTTACACAAGTCCTGTTAAGTTTCTTTATCCTTTTCATCTTTTAAAACCCCAAAATGTATGACTTATTAAAAGTTTTGTTTTTTTAATTCCATATGATTTTATTAAGATTATGTATTATTATTTATTATTAACATTACAAATATCAAATTTGTGTTTGTTATTTTATAATTAAATATATACGTGTGTGTATTTTTTTGTGTTTATAAGTGTATGTACGTTAATATTGATTTGTGATTTTATGTGTGTTTTTTATTGTAATTCAAAAATATTCAATTGTACAAATAAGAAACGAACGAAAATGAAAATTGTTTATTAATCCTTGTATATTCTTGATTAATTTGCTGTGTATTTTTCTTTAAGTGTTGTTTTTACTTTTTTTATTGATATTTTTTCTGTTTAAAAAAATATTGTTTTTATATTTCTTATTTTCTTCCATTAAAAAATTATGAAAATATTAAAAAAAATAATAATAATGTGAATTAGTATTTCTATAAAATTGCACGCTTTAAGCAGCAATTAAATCATAGTGATTTTTATTTAAATGTGCTGTATTTTCGTTGCTAAAACATCTTTTTCAAATTGGGATGATTAACTTGTCAATAGCGCTATATTAATTTCCTTAACCATTTTTACACGATGTAACATTTTCTGCAATGCTTCTTGGCTGAGAGCCTGGGTGGAGTACCATACTGGTGAATCGGGTACACATGAACGTTCTGGTTGCAAGTAGAAGACATCATTGCGAGTTTTAACACTTTCCGGACTGAAACAAAACATGTTTAAATATACTCTGTATATATTTAGGTATTTTAACTTGTATTTACCATTTCGACAAATAGAATTCATATAAACGAACTGGACAACGTAAGGGATTCTCTTCGTTTTCTTGTTGTTCATAAACCTTCTTTTTGCGGGGATTGGCGTCTGTAATAAAAACATTGATGTTTTAAAACGTGAATTTTTATTATAAATTATTTGGAAAAGATCAACGACTATAGGCTGGACTATAAATAAGACTACAGACTAGAATATAATTATGACCACATAGTGGGTTTTAGTCCAGACTATAAACTGCTCTATGTGCTAGACTATATAATAATCTAAAGTCCAGACTATAGACTGATCTAAGTCCAAACTGTAGACTGATCTATAATCCAGAATATAAACTGAACTATAGTCCAGACTATATAGAACTATGAATTCAGACTATAGAATGATCTATAGTCCAGACTATAGACTGATCTATAGTCCAGACTATAGACTGATCTATAGTCCAGACTATGGACTGATCTATAGTCCAGACTTTAGACTGATCTATAGTCCAGACTTTAGACTGATCTATAGTTCAGACTTTAGACTGATCTATAGTCCAGACTTTATACTGATCTATAGTCCAGACTATAGAGTATAGACTGATGTATAGTCTAGACTATAGACCGATCTATAGTCCAGACTATAATCTGATCTATAGTCCAGACTATAAACTGATCTATAGTCCAGACTATAGCTTGATCTCCAATATAGACTGATCTATAGTCCAGACTTTAGACTGATCTATAGTCCAGACTTTAGACTGATCTATAGTCCAGTCTATAGACTGATCTATAGTCCAGTCTATAGACTGATCTATAGTCCAGAATATAGCTTGATCTCCAATATAGACTGATCTATAGTCCAGACTTTAGACTGATCTATAGTCCAGACTATAAACTGATCTATAGTCCAGACTATAAACTGATCTATAGTCCAGACTATAGCTTGATCTCCAATATAGACTGATCTATAGTCCAGACTTTAGACTGATCTATAGTCCAGACTATAGAGTATAGACTGATGTATAGACTGAGACTATAGACTAATCTATAGTCCAGACTATAGACTGATCTATAGTCCAGACTATAAACTGATCTATAGTCCAGACTATAGCTTGATCTCCAATATAGACTGATCTATAGTCCAGACTTTAGACTGATCTATAGTCCAGACTTTAGACTGATCTATAGACTGATCTATAGTCCAGAATATAAACTGATCTACAGTCAAGGCTATAGACATATGTAGTTTCCTTTATATGATATAATACAACTTACCAAGTCCAGCTTGTGGTGGATAAAAGCGTAGTAAGACATTACGCGAACCAGGTGTTTTAGCTGTTTGACCAGTACGCTTCCAATGTTTCATAATATGTGAAAATGATAATTGCATGTGTTCTTCGACGGTCTAAATAAACGCAAAACAAACAAAAAATTAAATATAAATTTCAATAATTATACTTTCTATCTGAATAAAATACTAACAGTTAAATTGAAATGTTTTGTATTAAAGAACATAAGTGTGCTTAATAAAACGTGCGGTGAATGGGCACCCAATTGTTTGCATTCCCATAGATGTTCCTCTTCCACACGTGTAACAATATATTCTAAAAATAAAATAATATATTAAATTTAGTTTTTAAAGTTTTTTAGTGTTTATCCATAAACTTACGCGAATCATTATAAAGCACGGAAAATTTGCGTGCTACCTCATCTAAGCAGTCTGTAAAACGTTCATAATAAGTGTCCGTAAATATGTTGTCAATACGTCCATTTTCATAAAGATATTGTTGAATTCCTAATAAATGTTTAAGAAAGACAAATTATTAGATTTTATAAATTTCTTGTTAAGAAGAAAACCTACCCAATACTAAATAGTATATGGTATCAGGAGCATATTCGGTTCCATTGGGCTTTCTTACTTCCTTGACGAATAAACATAAGGAATAATTTAGCTCATCTGCAGTCATTTGCAGTAGTTCGGTTTTGAAAGGACGTCTTCTCATCGAACTCTTTTCAATGTCGGCATTTTTAGTCATCACCCATTGTTTCCAGGCGTTAACACCAAATGTATATTTTAAGCACATGTTGGCATCTGGCTTTTCGACAGGTTGCATTGGCTGCGGTTGTGGCTGTGGTGTTTGTTCCATTTCTTCAATGCGTTGACGTTTAACGGGTGAGCGATTGTTGCGCGGAGAGACTAAAGAAACTACGGATGCGCCACGTTTACGGCCACGAGCACCTCTGTAAAAATTAAAATTCTTGTTAAAGAGAAAATTGAACTAAATAGTTTCAGGTATAACATACCTTTGAGCATCCATCATGTGGTGTTGCTGTTGCATGTGATGACCGCTCATGTGGCTCATCGAATCATCGTGCTGCACCATGCCAGGCGGAGGATTAGTTATTGTATTAGCTGTTACAGCCGATTCCAGATCAATCGTACTTGTTGGCTGATCATAATCCCCAGTTGCCATTTTAAGAGCCATTTGTAAGACATCTTCACCGTAAGCGTTGTTGGTCACATCCACCTGCTGTACACTGTTATTGTATTGCAATGATACAACTGCTGGATCTGGTTTAACTTCATCTTCCGAATCGGAGTCAGATTCTCGTTTCTCTTCCGCTACCATTTCGGCCATCATCAAAAGTTCAGCCTCAAATGGATCGGCTGGCATTTTGTCCTGGATCTTTTTGATTTCCTTCATAATACCCTGGGCCGAGTTACGGGTGGTGGGTATAAAGATAGGTACGGGAATTGGAAGTGGAATAGGAACTGGCACTGGGAAGGGTGCCGAAACATGTACATCGGCTGTGGCAGATAAATGGGCACAGGTACAGGTATCAATACCTTGTTCGAGTAATCCTTGTCCGTTTGTGTACCCACTGTTGCCGTTTCGGGTTCAGATTGTATACCAACTGTAGTTGTACGAGGCTTACAACTAGTCATTACATTTCTTACAGCAGGCGGATGCGGAGCGGGACAGCAACAATCTTAGTCTCCGTTTGTACGGTAACCTTTTCGACAATTTTCTCCATAACACTGCTATTGCTACCACTACCGCTACGTTTGCTATTAGTTCTGGGCGGTGAGGGGGTTAGTGAACGCTCAATAATGGCGCTTTTACGTGCTCGTCCTCTCATCAGTTGGCTATTATTTGTTACGGCTGATGAAGACGGCGCAGGTGGTGGTGGAGATTCTGCTTTGCGTCCGCGTACACGGGTTCGTCTAACGGTAACATTACCAATCATCGTTTCAGTTTCTCCACTGGCCAATGATGAGACTGTTGATATTACTGGCATCGTAGGCTGTTTTTGTTTGGAAGCTGAGCCTTAGTTGGTAATTTCATCTGTTTTAGAGAAGACATGTTGGTAAAAGTTGATTTTTTTTTTAAATTATTAAGATTATTAAGATTTTTTCGTTTGAATTTGATTTTCTTAATGACAAGTTATAACAGTTACTTTTTTCAACGCGTGTGAGAGAGACAGCAATATATACACTTACATACAAAATATCTTTAATCTATTACAATTACTTCTAAATAAGAGTTGCATTTTAAAAAGATTCATTGAAAATTTGCCACCAAAAACTAGAATTTAAATTTTTTATCTATTTAATAACTTTATTTATTGTCAAGTTTTTCGTTCAGAAATTGGTTAATAATAATGTGTTAAATGTCAAATATTGATCTATTAGATCAAACAGTCCAATTTGTAGATCAGGTCACTCAGTCGAATATAATCATTTTTACTTTACATGCAATGATGGTTGTTGAGATCACCCTTCAGTTTTACACGTTTCGGCAATCCCGTTGGAAATGGTGCTGCTCCCTTACCCGATTTACCGCTTGATTGATGGCTTGAAGTCGATACATTCGATGACTTAGGATTACTGTCAGCCTCCAAGGTAAGCGGAGTTTCTAGCGAACTGACTTTGAAACTGCATAACACATTGATATGTACAAAAATTACGCATAGAAGCATCGGACATGGTCAAATGGTACTGTGGTTGTAGCCATATTTGTGCAATTAATCGCATTTAGTAACAGTGCGCGAAAACGCATTAATCGAAACGCCATACAGGGTGAGACAGTTAAGGGAGCACATCTGAACTTCCTGGCTATCCTGCTGTTTGAGAATCATATCGAAATTATATTTTTTCACTTTACACCATTGACAGGAGACGATGCGACGATTTGAGCACTATGTAAATGTTAAGGCAGACACGTGTACAAAATACCTTTGCACGTTTTTTCCGAGTAAATGGTAAAGGATTCGGTAGATTTACGCTCGAAATATTTGCAACACATGCCACACTGATCCGCCACAATATTGCTGACAAATTTTGAAAGCTGAAAAGCAGGGATTTGAACAGAAATTGTGTTCTTTATCATCTAGAATAATTTCAACGCGCACTGTTTTATCATTATTGCACACCGCGCATACATCGCTGCGCATGTTTCTTCTGGGATTGGCAATATTGTCATAGCGTCGCATACAGGACTGAGAACAGAAATCCTTTAAAACTGTTCTTTATCGCCTACTGGGGCCAAGAAAACCCTTCATTACCGGATGAAATATCTTTCTGGCAACAGGAACATGTTTTCAAGCCCCTTTTTGAATTCATTCAAACAAGCTGCACAACAGAATTGACGCACATCAAAGCCAAATCGCACACAATATTTGCCCAATTGCTGGGGTGTGGAACATCTCCATGGCACGTTTGACAATTGGCACCAATTGTACGCGGATATTTCCCCAAAACAAATTTCATTACAAAAATCCATAGTTTCCCATATAGATTCTTGTCGCCCAGTGTTATTTCTGAGAAACAATCGGCACACAACGGCGCACAAAACTAGCTGCTCTTTCTAGACGAGCCGCTTCGGCTTCAGCCGATGTACGAGCAACTACTCTCGACTCAGGTTCGCCGGATTTTTTGCCATTATCATAGAAATGGTGGTAGCACCGATATTGCGTACTCTAATCGAGTGTCTCTTAAGTTTGAATTTCTCTGGCTCTTCGGCAATTAGTAGATTGAAGACAATCATCGTTACACATGTAAAAGTGTCATCGTCTTGTTTTAAAGAAATATTTACACGTTTTTTCCTCTTTACATTGTAAACAAGAATGTTTATTGGCATCAGTGTCTTCGCTAGCCGGTAGTTTCTTCAATCAAGAACTTTTACGACGTATAAAATATTTGCCAGCATTTGCTTCCATAAATAATGTGGAACAGGTATGATCACATAAATGTTCAAATTCTGAAGTATCGGGATTTTTGAAACGAAAACCACAGTTTTTTCTTCATTACACTGCACACACTTTTGCGTGGTGTGGTTACACAATCCAGGAAATATTGTTTCGTTCCACTACTGGCTTCATTTGTACTTGAGTGGAGTTCTTCTAAGAGCGGCTCCTCGCCATCGGGATTCTCGTTGGAATTATTCTCTGTAATTTTGAATATTGATAATAATTTACACTAAAGTTTTACATCTTTTATATTTCATAAAAAAATCCATTTTTTATATACCACCTTGTCCAATTAGTAAATGTTTTAAAATTCTTTATACAATCAACGTAAAAACTTATATCATTGCTTGGACAAGGCTATGAATTAAAAGTAAAGCAACAAAATGATTTAAGATTTAAATAAAAATTTTCATTACCTTCTTCATTTGATTGATTTTTCATTGCCTTGAGCTTCGGCTCCAGCTTCTTTATTAGCTTGAGCTTGAGCAAAAGATAGAAATAAATAAAATAAGGCAATGCTATTAACAACTACATAATACCAACTAATTTACAATGATTATAGATCATATGTACATTTAAATAAAATTTAACCTATCAAAGTGTTTTAAAAACTTACCACGCGCTTCGTGAGAATATGAGCCAGCTTCAGTTGTCTTCACTTGTTTCTTATCGCCATCATCTTTATTCTTTTCGTGGAATTATTTTCTTTCTCGTCGCTTCTCTTTTCCGCATTTCACGAGCTAATATAGCCTGATTCCTTTTCGGCGTCCGTAACTGTTGATTCTGTATCGTCAGGTATTAAGCAAACATCAGATTCTTCTGGTTCTTGTACATTTTCAACAGGTTCTAAAATTAATATGTATCAGGTTTAAAATCATAAGTTGTTTACTTTTATTGTAAATCTTACCATCGTCCTTCTCCGGTCGGCAATTTTCATTATTGTCTTTTTTGCCATCATCCTTATCTTTATTTTCGTCATCATCATTTGTCACCTTCCTCATTATCCTCATTATCCTCATCATCCCTTGTTTTCATTAGAATTCTCTTGTTGATCTGCTCCTTCCTCCTATCGTCGTCGTCAGCTTCTTGCTGCAGAGGTTCCATAGACTCATCCTGTTGCTCATTATCGTTACGTTCATAAGACTTATATTTGAGTCATCATCACTGTGATCACCCACCTTCTTTATCATCCTGATTATCATTGTTGCCCCCCTGATCTACGTCCATGGCATTGTCATCTTCATCACAGACTGCGGCAAAGTGTTGTCAGCCTCTCCCAACATATCTGATTCTTCAACATTGGGATTATTTCCCGATACATTTGCATCAACTTCTTCAAATCTCTTGATTCTCCTCCTTCATCTTCGTTCTCCTTTTCCACCGCCCTCTGCATTTTCATCTGGTGGTGGACCTGCTGAAGTGGCACGAGAATTTTCATCTACTTCAAATGTCCCTTCTGAGATTTGTTCGAAATCGTCTTCATTTGCCCCACCTTCTTCATCTGGTGCGTTACTTTCTTTGGCACCCCCCGCCACCACCACCTCCATGCCCTGTATTTTCTTCCACATCTTTATAAGAATGTTGCGTATTTTCAGACTCTGGTCGAGCAGATGAATTTGCTTCGTCCGTTTGAAATGAATCTAAACTTGATATCTCCTCCATTTTAATATTAAGTTATCCACAAGTACGCAAATCGGCAATAGGGGATATATAGACATTAACTGAAAAATAAAAGATTTGTATTATAACGATTTTATTTGTGCATGGGTCGTTGGAACAAAGGAATTTACTGTAAAAGGTTTAGATTAGGTAGAAAAAGAGATTAGATTGAAGGTTGTCTGAATGTAAGAGACGTTCATGTCAGCTTATTTCAGTAAGAGGGACAGGTGTTGACAGCACCATAGGAACCATATCTACGTGAACTTGAAAAAACTAAACTAGCCAAGGGGAAATTCGAAGGACGGCTAAAAAGTCTCAGCACTATGTGTGAGTTGCATACACAGGAAACACTGCATTTTAGTGAAGAGGGTAGGAAAACTTCCAGTCGTTATTCTTAAGGGCCTCTAAAAGAAGATTATTAAAATAAAAAGTTCCAGAGTTTGTCAGATTATCAACCTATGGCAATAAATTGAAACGTAGATTTCCAATCAAAATCGGTACAACAGGCCTATGGGATCCTTCAGATTGACAATTGGTAGATATAGCGCATGTAGTCCAGACGCAAAACTAGAGATTAAATAAAAATCTGAATTGGCATTTAGATCAAATGTGATAGGAGAGGTTCCAACACCCATGAAATTAGCAGGCTGATAGAAACTAACAAAGAACTATAAACTTATTTAAAAAAGGATGTTGCTCACATTTCTCTGGTCTTTAAAAATACACGAAAGTATTTACGGGCCTTAACTATTTTAAAAAAGATAATTAAATTCCTAAAATTCTGAAACATCTTGTTTACTATAACCTGGACTTTAAGGCCAGCATAATGTCAATAAACGTTAAGGAAAAAACAAACATAAAGGAAAAATTATTTTTTTGCATTCAAATGCATCTGGTCACCTTAAAAATATTTTTCCCGCCGTTGTGATGCGCAAAGAAAAAAACCAACAACAACAACGAATACACACATATATCAGAGCAGAGCAACAACGACTCACATTCACGATAATAATGAGAAGACAAGCAAGACAGAAAAATAAAATAAAACATACATACAAAACAAGGCGAAATAAAACAAACTAGACAATTCAATCTCTTACAATTCGATGACAGACAGTAGGGTAATAATAAAGAAAATGTGAAGGAAAGAGAACAAAAAAAATTATACTAAAATATGAAATATATACTTTTTGCAATATTTACCTTTAGGTCAAATTTATATTTTTATTTCTATAAATTCCTTATTAATCCGCAACTATAATTTTCCAAGACCAAAGAAAGAAAACTCTCTGAAGGGTCTTATACAAGCAAAAAACAAACCCTTGTCAAATGTGTGTGCTGGTAAATTTTTTAGAAGTACAGCACGCACAGTGGGAACTCCACGAGTGTAATAATATATCGTATGCGGCCCACCTAAAGCCGTCTTGTATTGTTTTTTTGTTCTTTCTTTTTTAGCAATAAACAAACAAAGCTCCTTTTTTAGTAAAGTTTTATATTTTTTTCAATAACTTTTGCACAATTTTTCGGTATATATTCATTAAATTTATAAAGTTCGTTTTTACAGATTTTATTTTTCTTTTCGTCCGCCTCTACGGAATGAGGTGGAATATAAATGTACAAGCGAAACGAAAAATGAAAAAATGCTGCCTGCTATTGCTGTATAAAAACGAAACGTAAGAGTAATCACTTGTGTCAGCTTCAAAATTTATCTGAAATTTTACAACACTTTAACATTGCATATTCCAGCGAATTTTAATCGTATATTGTTGTGGTTTATTTATATTTCACTTTGTTACTGCTTTTATTAAATAATTGTACAATTTTAACCGATAAATTTGCGTTAAATAACCCGTATTAAAAACACACATAAAAAATCTAATCGGCTTCTTTACAACCAAATAATGAAAACAGACTTCTGCGCAAACCAAACTTAACGACGTCGGCGGTTGACACTAAAAATTTTGACGTCGTCATAAAATCAATTCTTTACCGACTTTGGTTTTTCATACACTGATAAAGAAAAAAATAAAACTAGAGTTATGAAAAATGTTAAAACTTGGAAAGTAATTTGGAACAAATTAGATCTCTAAACTAATTTCTTTTGTTTATATTCATATATGTATATATATTTTTCGGGATGTATCAAATAATTTTATGTTTTAAAACAAGTTAGAATGTTTAGTCGGGAATGACCGACCTTTTGATACCATTCACCAATTACGCTATCTTTCAGAAACTAATAAAATACTTTTCTCATAGAGATCAACATTCAATTCACTTAATTTTCATGGCTCATCAAGATTCCAATCGAATAAATCAAGAAAATCAGTGTAGGACCAATAAAGTGGTATAAGGTATAAAACCTTACTTTAAAGAATCATAACTCTAAAATGAACAGAGAACGGATAAAAATTTTCGAATTAAAGGAGCTATCAACCCTTAAAACAATAATACAGGCCAACAAAATTTAAAAGGGTCTACACCCAAAAGGATGGTGCAGCTCTGAGTCCAAATTTGGCGTCCATCACATCAAGGTTAGATATTGTGTACTTAAAATAGAAAAAATCCCCTTTCATCTTTATTTATAACAATTGTTGTGTCGTCTGAAAGTTCAATCAGTCGATATTAAAATTGAGGTTTTACATATATAACAGATTTGAGATATCTTGAACCTAAAGAAAAAAACATAAATTCCTAAAAATTATATTGCCTTTATTTTACGGCAAAGATAAAGTGAAAGAAATGTAATTAAACATTTAGATTATGTTAATTTACGGAAGTTGTTTTAGATCAAAAAATTTCGATGAAGAAATAAGATATAATAGAGGTTAAACTTTTATTTTAAAATCAAAAGATTGGACTTAAAGATGATACTACAAATTTTATAAATAAAGATGTTGCGCTTTTATAACGTCTCATTTTATCGATTTTAAGTAAAAGGAAAGAAGGAGAGAAGAAACAAATATTCTTCTTTCCTCTCTCTCCAACAAATTCAAAACGTTGCTGTGTCTTGCACCTACCAAACAAACTATACACATAATGGCGGATATTTACAAGCCGACTCAAGCTGAAAAAATGTCACCGGCGTTTGTATTTAAATTTTATCGGCGGCTACACATAATCGGCTTTTTGAATAAAAAACAAACAAAACGTAGACTGGAAGAATAATTGTAATTGATTACCATTACGTAGAGTTGCATTTCGCCTCATTCAAATTTTGAGTCTCGAAGGATTTTTTGAAAACAAAGTTGCCAACTTTCGTTTGAGTGTTCCGTTAATGTTTATTTGATAATGAAAATATTGTTTATCAATTTGAAGTAGTTTACGAGTATATATAGAATAAAAACAGGCTAGATGTTTGGAGCAAAAAATTGCTTTTAAGAGAAGAATGTGTAAACAAAGCCGCCTTTGTCATCGAAACAGTTTGTTTCGATGCCAATATTTTATATTTCATATGGTGAAAGTCCTTGTCACAAAATTCTAACATTTATCGTTAAACGTATTTCAAAATAAAACGCATCTATACAATTTTTTTAATCAAATATTTATATATTTTTTATATATACTCTATGTACAATGTTTATTCAACATTTTTATATGTTAGTAAATTAATAATATTTAATCATTCAAAATGGGCTACAGGTTCAAATCCTGTAAATTACTTAAAATTACAAAAAAAAATGACAAACGATTAAAAACTACGATATTGTGAAAAGGATCAATCAATTATGTTGATACGTACAACTTATTAAAACTACTTTATTAAAATTTTAGGAAGATTATGATTGAAATCTTAAATAGAAAATCTAACAAAATTAACAAACAATGTATGTAGTATGGCCACAATTTGCAATAATTTTAAAGAAATCTTTTCTTACAAAATTTCCTTAAATACAACAACCTTTGATTGTTTTTTTTAATCACACACTTATACAATTGAATTATTTTTTGATCGCTGCACGCTTATAGGGTACCTCAAACTTAGTGACGGCCAAAGTGCGTAATTGTAAAATACAAGTGTAAAGTTTAACAGCTGGCCCCAATTTCAAACCCAGCTTTTCGGTAAGATCCTCTTGTTGCAGGAGCAATAATGATTCACCATCAATATCTTCATGACAGAAGATGGTGGCTGTTTTGCGACACTTCAAATAGAGTTCCACAAAAACACTCACTTCAGTGGTAGACCAGTTGAGGGGATTACGTTTAATTTTTTCAGCATCAAAGGTGAAATTCTTTTGCCATAGCGTAAAGTTTTGCTGCAAACGAGGACCATAGTCGAAGAGGAATTCTTTGGCAATATCTAGATTAACATCGAGTACATTGTCATTAGAATTTTGCGCTTGAGCTGGTGATATGGAGGTATTATTGGAGTTTTTAGAAGCTTTTGTTTCTTCTTTCTTGAGTTGTGGCAAAGAGAAACCGCCCAGCAAGTCACTGCTATTGGTAGGCAGTTTTTCCTGTTGTACTAGAATATTGCGCGTTTTAATATTGTCTAACATTTGCAAACGTTCCAAAATTTGTTGTTCACTTAAACGTGTTGGAAGAGAAGACGACAACGGTTGCTGCAGCGGCAATTGTTTGTTTTGTTTAGGCAAAGTTCTTACAATATTATCGTAGTTAATACGTTGAGGTTTTTCCACTACAATGCGCCAATTTTCGGCAGCATAGGGGCAACCATCCCGGGTGGCATGTACGCCCATAAATGCCTTCTTCGCATTACCAATGCCACGGCAACCTTCAACGGGACAAGGCATTTTTTGTTTTGTCATTTGAAAACCTGGTGGTGGCTCTAGATCATGGCCAGTAGCATCGCACCAACCGATGGGATGTAAGTCAGGACTATCATCTTCCAGCCAAAAGCAGTAATCACTGGGCCAACCATCTAAATGCAACTTAACACGATGTCCTTTATGTGTCACAACAGTGGCTGGTCTTATCAAAGAGGGATTGCGAGGATCTACTACTTCTAAGCGCATATTGGGCTTAAACCCAATAGGTTCTCTGGGATTAAACAGTTCTTCACTAGCTGCTTCTCCGGTACCCTGTTTACGTATATAGTCGTTCCAATTAAAGGCGGAATTCTCACAATCTGGCGGTACTACCAGCTGTTGACGTCCCTCATGCCAACCGCAGGGATGTATATAGGGAGAGTTAATATCAACTATTATGTCATAGCAATCATCCCAGCCATCAAAATGTATACGTATGCGATCATCTAAAACATCAGCCACAGAAGCAACACACAGTTTTCCAGTATCATTTAAATCCTCAGCTTCCAAATGCATGCCGACCTGTAAGAGAAAAAAAAGCAACGATAACAACATTGAATTAACTATTCCATGTTAACCTTAAGACTCGAAGCACTCTTACCTTAAACGGATTACGCGGTACCAAAGAAGATGAATTCAAGTGTGTAAATAAATATCTGGGAGCGGGCACTGCCTTTTCCTTATTCAAATAAGCACCCCAATTGAATTTATTCGCTGTTATACCTTTAGGTGGCTGTAATATACGATTAGTTTTCGCACACCAACCGGGCGGAAAAATATCCATAGAATCAGCATTTAGCCAAAAATCATAGGCATTATCATAACCATCGAAGCTCAGCTTCAGACGATAGCCCATAATATCAATGATTGTACAAACACAGAAAAGAGCACAATTTTCCGGATCTATAGCTTCCAATTTCATGCCGATCGTAAAGTTATTGGGCCCGGTGGGAAATGGATTTAAAAATAGTGATATGGGTGCAGCCATAGTAGTAAAATTACTATTCATATAGGTAGACCAACGGAATTTTGGTTTTTTAATATAGGTCAAAGGTGGTGGATTGTTAATGTTAAGCGCATCGGTTGTAATGTTAGCAATGCTGCTGTTGTTGATATTAATGTTGTAGTTTTTGTTGACCATATTTAAATTGCTTAAACGATTACGTTTGCGCATAAGACTGATGCTATCATCACGACGTTTACGACAATCACGTTTTAAACATGATAATGAACAAAATTCTGCAAGTGGAAGAAATATTTGCATTAGTTTTTATAAATCGGAAAAAAGTCTATCAAGAATTTAACTTTCATTATGAAAAAGGTATTTCTAAACTTACCAGGAGCCAAAAAATCAACAGATGGCCCTTGAACATTGCAGCGTCGACACATATAGTATGTTGGAGGATCGCCATTTTCATTACGTCTATGTGATGATTCCCTTTCGTATATAGGCTTTTCATAAGCCGTATGAATACGTTTATTAGGCATGCTCTTTTCATATAATTGTATCAGATTGAATTCGTTTAATTGAAATTTTAAATTCGTACCACGTGCCGTTCCAATGCGTTCTCGCCAATTCAACATGTTAAAATTGGAAAGCATATCTAAAACTGAAGAATAACCATTTGGTTGTTGTTGAGTTTCATCTTTTGCAGCGAAAGCTTTTGGTTCCATTAAGGTTTTCTTTAATAACGGAGATGTGGTAGTAGTAGTTGTTGTTGGATTGTCCATTTGGGAAGGGGATTTTATTAGAGAAGTTGTAGCCGAATTTTGATCGACAGAATTATTTGATACAGAAGATGAGGAACTTATTATGAATTGTTCATCACATAGTAAGGATTCATTAAGTCGTTCTTTGTTCTCGGATGAGGATCTTAACAAGCTTTCATTATCCTCTTCATCATCATCAATTTCAATTGGTTCTATTTCCATTTCATCCATAGGCAAAATAGTGACATCGTCATCCTCTGAAGAATTGGTGGCATAACCCTCTTGATTATCTTTGGAAGAGTTCGAAGATGCTTGAGTTTGCTGATTCTGTTGCTCCGTTTTCTTTTCCTTATCATTTTCTGTTGCATTATTTGTTGGTGTGTTAGTAGCTGTTGCTTTATTACTACTACTGTCTTTAGCAGGCGGTGTTGTTTCATGTTTTTCTTGCAATTCTTTATTATTCTGTGGACTTTGCTTATCCTTATCTTGAGATTTTTCAGAGGCTATGGATAATTTATCACCAGAACTTTCCAAATATTCTTCGTCTTCAAAGTATATATCCATTTCGTCGGATTTTAATAATTCTATATCCTGATTATCTTGAGTTATTGCCTCAGTGTTATTGCTAGTTATGACTAGCTCAATTTTTGCTGGTTCCGAATGTCTCCTTTCACTGTTGGCGGCTGTAGCAAGGGAAGATTTTGGTTTCAAGACTGTATTACAGGAATTCGAACGTTGTGAGCGTGGGCTGGTTTGTTGTGGCGGCATTGGTGGTGATTTTTTATTAATTGTTTTCGGTTTTAATAAAGATTTTTGCTTTTCCACTAGAGTATTGGCGGTTTTTGTAGCGTTATTATGGCTTTCGGGAGATTTTTTGAAATCCAAGCTGGTTTTTAGTAGAGAGTAAGACTCATTTGTTTCCTTTTTCGCCTTTACATCTTGAGCGTTTTGACTATTAGTTTTTGTTTGGATTTTAGTGGATTGTTCCAAATCTTGGGTTTTACGTTTGTCTATAACGATTTCTGCTGGTAGTTTTGAGTTGGAACTTTTTAATAAAGACATTTCTTTGGTCTTCATTTCATGCATTGCTAAATTTGGTTTTTTTATGAGAGACACTTCACTGTTAAGATTTCCCACCTTAATTTCATGGGGATTTTTTAGAATTGTTTTGGCTGTAGGCTCATTGTTTAATTCTGTAATAATATTTGTTGCCTTTTTGTTGGAATTCTGTAATAAACTGACTTGGGGCAGTTTCTGAACAGTTTGGGCGACAGTGTTAGCTTTGACCAGTTCCATGCCCAAAGCGGCAAACATTTGTGAAGAATTATCCGTAGTAGTTGTTATAACGGTGTGATTATTTAGTTTTTGTTGCAATTGGTGTTGCTGGGGATAATGTTGTTGTTGGTGTTGTGTTGTTGTTACCAACATTTTTGGCGTATTTTTTATTAAAGTTTTATTTTGAATTTGTTGTTGGTGTGTTGGCTGCTGTTTATATTGCTGTTGTATTATTGGTTTATTTTGTAATATTGTAGGCTTTAATAAAGTTGTTCCTGGTGCTAAGTTGGCGGTTGCTCCTGCGCCAGGATTACCCACTACTATTTGTTTTAAAATATCCGCATTAAATGTTTGTGGATTAAATGTATTCATTTTAGTTTTTTGTTGCTGCTGCTGTGGTTGATGTTGCTGCTGTTGCTTTGTGGACAATTGTTGTTCTTGTTTTATTTGTACTGTTTTTGTTGTAGTTGCTGTAGTTGGTGTGTTACGTATTATAATTGGTGCCGCAACATGACCTACATAAAACAAATAAATAAAAAAGAAAAAAAACAAAAATATTTATAAATTATACGAACTTTTTAATTAAATTTAAATTAGATAATAGTACTAACTGTAATTAAAATTTAATTTACAATTCTATGACAAATTATATGAACGTCTAATGTTGGACTAAAATCAATTTCACTAACAAATATAACAAATTCATTAAACAAGATCATTATTATTATACAAGTTAAAACATTAAGGTGACCATATGTTGTGGGAAGTTTTAAAAATATATACATATATCTATACAAATTTTAAAAATACAACTGATAATCGTAGAAACTCCTTCTATGTTTAATATATTATATTAAACTAAAAATGGTTGTTCTTAAACTAATAAAAGATTCCGATAACAAACTGTTTACTAAGAGACTGTAAGGTAGCCACTTACCTTATTAGTTTATTAACTAAAATTGTATTAAATTATTTACTCTCTTATCTACAAACTTAACTATTTATTAAATTAAACAAAATTTAGTTTTATTAGAAGTATACTCTCTGCTCTCTTGGTCTTACTAGACTGTTGGCGTTTGCTAGTAAACAGCGTAATTTATGCTAGTAAAATAGTTGGTATCTAATATCCGAAATTATTACCTAACTAACGTGTCCTACTAAAATTGAGTCAATTGCAGATTAAAATAACTGGTACCTAAAGTAAAATTCTATCTAAATTACCTACAAGTGTCCAATAGGAGTATCCAGAAAAAACTTACTTCTATGGGTTAGTAATGTAATGAGCAGTGTATAATCTAAAATGCTCTTAAATCGATTACCTGAATGAACATAAACGTTTTATTCTTATTGCCTTTCAAATTTCCTAGAACTGTCTAATTAGAGTTTTCAGAAAAACCCTTTATTCCAACTGGTTTTCGAATAATTCCGAGAATGGATTATTATTTATAATAGAGTCAATATTGAAACTTTAAAAACTATAATAATTTTAACAGTTTAAGTTTTTTGAACATAAGTTCGAATTTACAAAAATCTTTTAAGATGATCTGGGGATCACTTTACCATATTCAAAAAGTTTCAAATGAAGGTTACACAGACCAAGAAAGTAAAAAATAGATAGATAGATAGATAGATAGATAGATAGATAGATAGATAGATAGATAGATAGATAGATAGATAGATAGATAGAGTGATATATAGATAGAGTGATATATAGATAGATAGATATATAGATAGATAGATAGATAGATAGATAGATAGATAGATAGATAGATAGATAGATAGATAGATAGATAGATAGATAGATAGATAGATAGATAGATAGATAGATAGATAGATAGATAGATAGATAGATAGATAGATAGATAGATAGATAGATAGATAGATAGATAGATAGATAGATAGATAGATAGATAGATAGATAGATAGATAGATAGATAGATAGATAGATAGATAGATAGATAGATAGATAGATAGATAGAAAGATAGATAGATAGATAGATAGATAGATAGATAGATAGATAGATAGATAGATAGATAGATAGATAGATAGATAGATAGATAGATAGATAGATAGATAGATAGATAGATAGATAGATAGATAGATAGATAGATAGATAGATAGATAGATTCTATAATTCTAGAAATCTCCAAACCAAATTTCTACAAAATAACGGCTTAAATGTCCTTAAAAATCCAACCAGAGATAATATTTACTCTATATACAATTTCATATCCAACATCGGAATTAATTGCAAATTAATTTCAAATAAATAAAATCTTTTAATAAGTATTTTACATATTTGTAAATTTCTTAAAAGACCTGCACACAATAATATTTATTACAGGGTTGCTAAAAAATTAAACAATTTTTCAGCTGGCCACCTTAATAAGAAAAATCACAAATGTATGTACAAACACTGCAAAGTACTAACAGTATTTTTAATGATAAATTAAATAAAAAACGCACTTTATTTTAAACAAAAAACGATTTTTATAAATATAATTTACAAAAAATATTATTGTTAATTTATATTTTATTAAACTTTATTTAAGTTGACTTTTAAAAACGAAGACAAAACTTTCGTTTAACACATTTTTGTTCACGAAAAAAGTTGTACTAGAGAGGGAGGTCATTTGTTGAATTTCTATACATTATCTTATAGGTATTTTTCAAGTGATTGAAATGAAAAATGTAAAACATTAAAAAATAGTAGCTAATAATTTAACTTTATTTAAATTAGTTTTGAATGCGTGTCAATTTTATTTACAATGTAATAGTATTTATTGTATGTATTTCTGGTATTGACCATGATAATGATGGTTGGCTCTTTTTCAAACATCATTATGATGTTTTAAGGTATTTTATTGTTGTTTAGTAATGTGTTGGTGCTGTAGTAGACCAAATACACAAGAAAATTTTGTATGAAAAAATTTACGAGATAAATTTGGAATGAGTTAAAATGGGAACACGTGAAATATTGTATGTAGATTTAAATAGATGTTTAAATAAATTTGTTTAGTTGATTTTCTTTGGACGCAAAATAATGATTAGTTTTAGGGAGTTCGTTATAGGTAAACAATTTAGAGAAAGATTACATAATTTTTAAAGGCGAAGGGTTTAATTTAATTAATGGATACGAAAAATTTAAAATATTATCTTAACACTTACCAGCTGTTGCCATGGTTTGTGAGGAAGCCAAGATGACACTGACAGAGCCATTGGGTGCAGAGATGACGGGAGTCAAATTATTACTATTATTATTGTTTTGTGATGTTGACAATACTTGATAGGTAATATTGCCTGCATTATTGGCAGAAGTTAATACCAAGGGTTTGTTAGCATTAACCGATGTTAGGGTAGTAGTACTACTATTACCGGTAAGAACAGGAGTATGTACCACCATTGGTGCTGTGCCTGCTGGTGTAATCTTTGTTGTTTGCTGCTGAATAGGATCAACAGTACTAATCAAGGTTTGATTTGTTAATAAAACGGGCATATAATTTGTGGCCGTCGTTACATATTTTGTGTTATCCATTAAACTATTACCAGTAGTAGTGGTAGTAGCACCTTTTCCAACACTACCCACACTATTAAGGCCAGTAGTGGTTACAATGTTTGCGGCCGTTTGCGGCGTATGACTGACAGTGGCTGCCGTAGCTGCTACATTTGACTTTAATATTGAAGTTCCTGTGGCAGGAGTCAATGGTGGCAGGCCTGTTATATAGTATTGTGACGCTGTTGGTGTTGGCTGTTGTTGGCCATTTAAAGGATTCATTTTCACTTTTCTTTTTTGAATTCTTATATTATTTTGAAGCACTTTTATATTCAATTATTATATGTTTATTAAAAAATTAAATTAAAAATTCACTTACAACTTCATTGCTTTTCAAAGTTGTAACAACTCCTCTTCTTGTTATTTTCTGTTGATGATAATAATGATTATCTGTGGCGTTTTTTGTTCACTTCTTTTTTTGGCGAGTTGTGTTAAATAGTAGTATTGTTGTTGTTATTTTCTATAGTAATATTGTGATTGAATTGTTGTTGTAATGTTATAGAGCCGAATGCCATGACAAGTAGCACGACACCACATAAATAACGTTCTAAAAATATAAAATTATTTAAACATATTAATAGTTTAACAAAATTTGTTTATTATTATTAATATTCTGTTATTATTTATAAATATTTTTATAAAATTATTGCTTACCTTTTTGTTATGCTACTAAAAACTCTTCTATTTCATAAATCACTTTAATGTTTTCAATTTTACTTTTTTTGCAAGCAGCAGCGTTGTAAAATATGGTATTATTTCCCTAACATAAATTTAATTTGTTTGTTTTTTTTTTCTAATAAAATTTTTAAAATTTTAGTTTATTTTTATATATATTTAAATGATTGTTTTAAAAAATTTAAAAATTATTTATACACATTTATGGTTTTGTTTTTAAAATTTATTAAATTAATGGCAAGAGTTACCATATGATTTGTAATTTTTTGGTAGTATTTTATTTGTTTTAAAAGGTAGTAAAATACAGCGATAATAAAAACAAATGCTGCACGCATGTTTGTAAAAATGTGTTTGTTTCTTAATTTTCAAAGATGAAAATGATTGAACACAACCATTTAAAGAAAAATTAATACATTTTACGTTATCCCATAGATTTTTTAGAAACGTAGCTTGTATAATGCATATTATGTAATGCATTTTGTTTTAATACGATTATAGTTTTGCTAGAGCTTAGTAATCAATAATACAGTCCAACAAAATTTAAAATTGCGAAATTCTGACACCCAAATGTACTTTTTTGGCCTCAGAATTTATCCATATACATAGGTTTAATAATACCCATTTTTGGCCATATTTGAGACGCTATAATAGCGCGAAGATATCTTTATTTATAAAATCTGTTGTCATCTAAAAGTATAATCTGTCCAAATTTTTGCTTACCAACCGGACCTTTATCAGATAATTTTATTAAATATGGGGGATAGTTTGCTAATAAACTTGTTAGGTAATGTATTAATCAGAGCAGCAATCTGAATGGTATGTACCTTACACAAAATTACTTTTCAATCGAAAATTGCATAACTTCTATTCTTAAATTGGTTCTTCAAAAGTATTTCGCGAACTTTTCTTTTTCTATAGAAATCTATTTCAGACGAACTATTATTAATCTGTTGAATATGTATAAGTATCATGCCCATATAACAGTGCATAAATTGACAGACAACAGATCTATACTATACGTTTCCACGGCAATTGGATCTACACTGCGGATTGACCTGACTTTTCCTTGGCCCAATATTGCTAACTCAGCGGCAGCTATATCAACCGATAAAAAAAGGAAAAAACCTTCAGCCACTGTCGAACTGATACAACAACAGATTAATCTATTTAGGACCAATCGATGATCCAATAAAATTGCAGTTGTTTGCCTAATTCATCATAAGTCATGGAGTTTTGAGCCTTTATTTGCAAACTTTTACTTTATAAAAATAATAATTATTATTTATTATTAGAACCATTTATTTATTAGAAACCATGACAATCGTGTAAAAAATTTTTGAGACGGAGACTAGATTTAAAACAATTACCAGTGCTTAAAATGCCAATTTTATTCTATTTCAATACTAAAAAATACAAAACTAAACTCATAAATGTACGCATTATGATGAATACTACTGGAAATTTAAGTTAGAAATTGATCTTAGAACACCTTTAAGTGGGGACACTTCAATTGCGTTATATTTTTTCTTTATTTACTTCTGACAAAAGACATAAAATTAAAAAGCTGATTAAAAAGTAGTTATTTTGATGTGATCGGATCGGAAAGGTCCCAACTGTAAATCTCATCTATCTTTTTTGGTTCTCATATGTATAGTCAACATCAGATGAATTATATTACGTTGGCGATCAGAATTTATTAAATATTTGAAAATATATATTTTTACATCAATAAATTAATGGGACACATAATACTTGGTATCTGCTTAATAGAGCAGACACTTCTACTTCACCCAAAAGCCAGTAGAATATTTCAATATAGTTTAATATTTTTTCTTTAAGCAAAATTATTTATAACTTTTTTAAATTATAATCAAGCTTTTAGTTCAATTTTCAATATCTATGTAAAACTTTGTAATATTATTCTAAAATCGATATCACTAGGATCTGCTAAGTTTATAGTTTTAATACCTTAAAGTACAACTCTGTTTCAGTTTATTTTTACTTATTTACATGAAAAACAAAAAGATGTATATTTTATTTTTCATTATATTTTTAATATAAATGAATAAAATTATGTGTTTGCTTTTGCTAAATCTTTAGAATAAAAATATTGTCTTGTTGTTAAATTGTTTTTGCATTTCAATAGATAAATTATCAATAGACAACAGGTAAGACACAATACAACAGAATTACAGTATAAAGTACAATAATTAAATAAAAATAATGTAATACATACCTTAATGTGAGCTTTACAATTATTTGTATAATATTTTTAATATACAAAATTACACTTTTGCTAATTATTTTAACAAATTAACAAAATTAAAGAAAGCACGGTTATCTATCAACTTCGTTCAATGAATGAACATTTTACAAATGTATGTATGTACATACATATGTAGCTACAATAATAACAATGCAAAGGAGTTCTGACCAGTGTGACCATTTTAGCAATTTTGCAGCTAGACAGTAGTTTTTATTTTGATTTAGCAGTAAAATTTGAATTTAGCATTTTGTGTCATTTTTGAAAAATATTTAAAATTTTTGAAAGTGTTTGAAGAATAATTTTTTGAGTCCATTAATCCATGCAAGTCAGTTCGATCATCTGCCTGGTTAGATGTCCATGTAAAGATTGTACGCAAGGTACAGGTCTAGACAATTTTAGTTTATTTTTATTTGGATGAAGTTTGGCACGTACGTTTGAAAATGTTTTAAAACTGTCTATTAATTCGCCTTCATATAAAAGCCTTTTTCATAATATTAGTTTAAATAAATCAGAACGAAGTTAAAATTCAGCATACATAAATGCTTTATTATGAAAAATAAATCACATTTTATACTCATATATATCTGGTGTAGAATCGGCCACACACGACTACACTTTCTTGATATAAATAGAGTTAAAAATTGATATGAATTGTTTAATGAAAGTATGTACTTAAACATTTTTAGCATTTTAAAGTCAATTTTAACATTTTTTCTAGCATTATTTTAGATGGGATTTAGATGCAATATTTTTTTGAGACCTGGTCACACTGATTTTGGCGTTTGTTTTTTTCTGCAAGAAATGGCAGCACTGTCTAAATATAATTGAGTGGACTTTTTCCGGTAAAAATTTTAAAAAAGACATTTGGAAAAAATATAGATTTAAAAACAATTAGATAAAGATTAGAAAAATAGCTCATATTAAAAAGATTATATATGTATTTAGATATTTTTCTATTATTAAGAAAAATGAGAGGTTAGGTTAAAACAGTTAAACAAGTAATCAATGCAGCTACAATTAATGTATTATTAACCCCAAGATTTATAATCAAATGTTTATATTATAAACGATGAAGAAAACTACTAAAACTTTGTAGGTAGGATTTCCTAAAATAAAATGAAATTTAATTTTTTGATAAATATATTGATCAAGGAGGATTATTAGTAAGGTGGAATCGCAAATACAACTGTTAATTATTTACATTAACACCTACTATCAAATTCCATATAAAAATGGAATAATAATTGTCAAAATCTATTTAAAAAAACATATAAAAATTATTTTCCTGCGGATGGATGGCATCTTACGAATTCGCATTGTTTACCTTTTGGCTAAGTACTACTGTGAATGATGATAAGTTTCACTGACAGCTGTTTAAGCGGGGTCGATGATAAAAATTAATTTTATTCCTTAAAAACTTGAATTATATCTTTTGATTTTTAATAAAATGTAAAATATAATTAATTTTCACTATATATTTCTTTCTACGAAACTAATTAAATCTTAATTATTTTAATGTTTGTTTTATAGCACTATTGTGAATGCTTACTCTTTTTAATATGATTAATAAAAATGACAGTTGTCAAATTGGGGCGAGAACGAGCATAAAAAGAAAAGGCACAAATAGAAAGAAAACTTAATAAAAATTTATAAAATAATAAAAAAATATAAAGTAAACTAAATAATCAACAATTTACAACATTTTAATATATTTTTTATAAACATAATAAAAAAAAAGACGAAAGGAAGCACTTAATACTTTAGTAAGCTATTACAATTTTGCTCATATAGAAAAAAAGAAAAACTATGTCACTAATCGATAAATTACAAGAACAAGAACCAATACCATTGGCCGATGATGATCCACAGGGTAGGTTGCTTTATTAAGTGGATTTTCAACATTATTAATTTACATAAATAACATTACAGTAATCATTAACGATGATGATCAACGTTCCAACATTCCCAATGGTCATTCTATGGATTCTCTGAGGTCCTCGTTTACTAATCGCAGTTCTACCCCTGATTCACACAATTCTTTGGATCCGGAAATAAGCCCCGACGAAAAGGAGGAGAAGGCACGTTTAATTACCCAAGTCTTGGAGTTACAAAACACTCTTGATGATTTGTCGCAACGCGTGGATTCGGTTAAAGAAGAGAACCTCAAATTACGTTCAGAAAATCAAGTTTTGGGACAATATATAGAGAATCTTATGTCAGCATCATCAGTATTCCAATCGACTAGTCCAAATTCAAAAAAGAAGTAGATACTTATTTAAACGCCAGCACAGATTTTCTCGAAAAACTTACTACATAAATAACTCAAATATTCTGGTCGGAATAGTTTTAATTCCGATTTAGCTTCTCGTTTCCGATGTTTTTTTTTTTTTTTTTGTTAAGAATTAACAATAAATACAAATCAGTTTCAATTCGACTTAAAGAACTCAAAGTGATTACATTTCGAAAAAATATTAGTTTAATACTTTCTGAGGAAGCATTTTGAAGAAATAACTTTTAACTCGAATGAAATTCTGTGACTGCGATTTTAGGTACATGCTTCATTTTTTAAGTTATTTTGCATGAAATTTGTTTTTATTTTTGATTTTTTTCTTTTCGAATACTCACCTCGATATTTATGTTCTTATATACTATTGTATATTTCTTTAATTATTTTATAATATTCATTAGTTAAATATTCCAATCAAAATGCATATTTATACACATACTTAAATATATACATATAGAATTGCAATTATAAGGCCTTTTTTAAATGTAAGCAAATGTAATCTATATTTTAATGTAATTTGCTTTATTGAAGAATTTATTGTTTTAATAATAAAAAAATACAGCTTATAATAAAAAACGCTTTATTTCAAGAATGTAATTAATAAGTAAAATAAAGTTGGTAAAATCCTTCTATAGACATGTATATCAACTAATTTTTGTAAAACGTCGTAGTTGGGTTGTCATAGAATCCAATAATTGTCGGAATTACATTGCTAATATATTATTGGTCTCTTGAAATCCAAGTTATAGGTTTTTTGTTAAATAAAGAATTGAGTTCTGGATCTTACATAAAACGAATATTAAATTTCATTAAACTAATGTAGGTATGTTTTTAAATTCAATTTTAATAATGACCAATATTTGGAAGGACATTTGTTTGGAGGTTAATATATAAGTTTAATCGGACTTAGTCATCGTTGCCATAGAAGATAGCATATAAAATTTTTTTAAATTTGCATCAAAATTGCAATTTAAGTACAATGTTTACATACAAATCGCTATTGAAAATTACATTTAAATGACATCATTATTTGACTGTTATACATACAAACATTTATCTATACATGTTATACATCTATGTGTATAACAGTTAACAGAATTGCATAATTTAAATCTGTTTCCTTTGAGCTGTCAGAAACCACCAAATTGCAAAAAGTTTTCATATGTATGTATGTACATATGTATAAAACAAAGAAAAACTACTTATTTTAGGATATCGTCAACTGAAAAAGGGCGTAACAGCACTTTTAAACATTTTACAGGAGCGACAAAAAACTGAATAAAATGAAAACTATTGTTGCTATAAAAACGACATTTTCTTCCAAGATTTTTATCCCAACATCAATAAACACATTTCGACATTACTGTACCGCTAGACATTGTTTATATGTTGCTTTTTATGACTTTCTGACTTCTGGAAATGACTAATTTATTGTTATGCCTTTTGAATATCATCTCAATAAAATCGGAGTTTTTGATAATAAAGTTCTAAAAATTTGCGACAACAAGTACATATGTATTTTGATGCAGTAGACCATTTTCAATCAAAGAGTCAATTTTAAATTTTTTGGTTACTCCATTTTGTATTTCAGGTGACGATATTAGGTTTTTGCTAAAAAGAAAATATTCAGTGGTATAAAATTTTAATTGAAGTGCCACTTATTAAAATGAATCCTGACTAGTGTGAATTTTAGGCAAAATAAATGGAGATTTTTAATTCAAAGCAAATGGACAATTCTGGGCATAATATTTAATAGTAATTGAATTGCCATGGACCTTGTTTATGCAACCGTGATACAAATATTGCATTTCCAAAAGTATGTGATATGGAACACTTTTCATCAATATTGTAGCATTCGTGTTCAATAAATCCCTCGAAAACTTAAAAAATACTCACATATCTACATATGTTCATCCATACGTAAAAATTATGTTTTCGCATAAATAACGTTAGTTTAAGACTAAGATTAACAAAAAATCGGATTACTAGTTAAAAAATTATGTATATAAAATCTTAAAAAAGGAATTTACTATGTATATTATATTAACTAAAGGAGTAACAAATGGTGAATGAGAACATGATGAAAGTGAAACATAAATAATCTTTAAAAAACTGACATCTAAGCAGATTCGTTGGACTAATTATTTTTGCTCTACATGCGAAATATATTCTCTTCTCTTAGAGAATTGCAACCCTCAAAATTGACTTAAATTGCTGTGCGCAGAAAAAACGTTACTTACGCATTAAAAATTCGTTTTTTACATACATATTTATGTGCTGCGTGAAATTATTAATGCCCCAGTGTGAGCCTAAACAAACACACGTGTTTGTGTGTCGTGCGCAGCCAAAAATTTGGTGTGTTGTTGCAATATAACTATTGAATACAATTAAGCTTTTTTCTAATAACGGCAACACTGAAAATAAATATAATGAAAAATCTTATTCACAATAGTTTATGTAAAAGTAAAAATTTTAACAGTTTCACAAACAATGTTAATAAACTCATCACTTAAATCAGCTGGCAAATGTCAAATATATCTTCCTAGTCTAACTATTCTTATTTACCTAAAATAAATAAAAATATAAAAATTTTATTTGGTTCATCTGCAATATTAAAAAAGAAATTAAAAATAATAATTTTAATAAATCATTAACAGGTTTCTGTTAGTGTACTGTTTACCTTAACATTTAATAAGTTTTTGTTGCTTTTGTTATGTAAAGAAAAACGTAAATAAATAAAAAGTAAAACAAATATTCACAATTACAATATAACAGTTGGAAATATTTCTCTTGTTACAAAATCAAAAGAAAATCGAATATGTGTATATTTTTCAAGAAAAAGTTCATAAATATATAAAAAAAAAAGAAATAAAATGTTATTCAAAATTGTTTCGATACAATAAAAGAAACATAAGAAACGTGAAAAAATTAAAAAAAACGAAATGAGAAAGACATAAAACAACAATATTATGGTCTTCGTGGTAAAAGGCTAAAGAAAATTACAATTTTACATTACAACAACAATGTGTATTAAGTATTTTATGCAACATATGTAACAAGTTTAACAATAATGAAACTTGGAAATTGTGTTAGTTACTACCAAAGAAAACAAAAAGAAAAGAAAACGAACAACAATAACTTGTGCTTAAGAAACACACATAAAGTAAATAAGAAAATAAAACGTGAAATAATTGTATGAGTGCGTGTGTTTAATTTATTGTTTGATTTACACTTTTTCTTTGACTTTGACTAACATCAATTCTGTGTTATTGTTTTTGTTATGTAAAGAAAAAATTGTAAATAAAAAAACACAACACAGGTATTATTCACAGTAGTAAATTTATAACAGTTATAAAAATACAATTTCTCTCTCAATGTTAAAACAGCTGTCAGACTGTCACTTTTTGTAATTTTTTTACTTTTTGGATTTTTCTACTTTGTTCTTGTGTCTTCAACAAAATATAAATATTTTGTAAATTTATTAAAAAACTAATAGAAATTTTAATGTAATAACAAACAAGAATAATATATTAATTTCCATAATATCTAAAAAAATACAATTTAAAAGTGTAATAATAAAAATAAAGTAATTGTTTTAGCTGTGCAACCAGCGCAGCAACTAGAAATAACAAAAACGACCTCGTTCAGTTTTCTAAATAAAGAAATTTTTTTATACCACTGCACCACATACAACAGAATTTATAGCCATTGCCACTGAAAAAATTATTGTCTAAAAAAAAAAAACATAGTTAAAAAGTATAATGATAAAACATGCAGTTTCTTGTAGAAATAATAATAAAAATGTATTATCAAGTTGCCTTAAATTGAAATTATCTTAACCAGTATTAGCAGCAGCAGCAGCACCTAAACCTAAATCCAAACATTGTTTAATTTTATTCACACTATTGGAATTGCCAGAAAATCAGTGGTGGTTGGTTGTGTGTATGTAAGTTTGTGTGCATTTTATAACATCCGTTCTATTTGTTGGCTGGCAATCAATCACCCACACTACTTGGTAAAGTTCTAAATATTATTAACGCCGCACCATACATAAGGCACTAAAAGTGCATATAGTTTGTTGCTTTCGTGCTGCTGAATTGTAATCCTTTTCCGTTATTACATTTGAACTGCATTGTGCCGTTGCTGTCGTCATCAGCAGCAGTTTTATAATTGTAATTCCTTTTCAATTTCAATGTCAATGGCAGATTTTGATGCAATTTATGAGGATGATCAATTGGAGGAACATTATGAAGAACAAACCGTCCCTCCAGGGCCAGAACCCATAGTGATACGTGGGGCTGGTAATATGACAGTGTAAGTATCTCGCATGCCGATTTCTGTTCCATTTTTTTAATACTCAGTAATCTGGACTATAGACTAGTCCATAGTATGGACTATTGAGCTGTAAATAGCCTCGAATAGACTGTATATCAGTCTATATATAGTCTTGACTATAGATCATTCTATAGTCTACCTGGTCTATAGTCTTGACTGCAGATCAGTCTATTGTCTTGAGTATATATCTGTCCATTTTGTTGACTATAGATCTGTCTATTGTGTTGACCATAGATAAATCTATAGTATATAGGCTTGATTTTATATCAGTCTATAGTCTTGACTATAGATCAGTCTATAGATTTGGTTATAGATCAGACTATAGTCTAGACTGTAGATCAGTCTGTAGTCTAGACTGTAGATCAGTCTGTAGTCTAGGCTATAGTTCAGTCTGTAGTCTAGGCTATAGTTCAGTCTATAGTCTAGACCATAGATCAGTCTATAGTCTAGATTATAGATCAGTCTATAGTCTAGACTATAGATCAGTCTATAGTTTACACAAAAGAGCAGTCCATAGTCTTGACAATAGATAAGTCTATAGTCTCGACTAGACTGTATGTATATCTTGACTATATGTCTTGACTATAGATCAGTCTATAGTCTTGACTATAGATCAGTCTATAGTCTTAACTATAGATCAGTCTATAGTCTTGACTATAGATAAGTCTATAGTCTTGACTATAGATAAGTCTATAGTCTCGACTAGACTGTATATCTTGACTATATGTCTTGACTATAGATTAGTCTATAGTCTTGACTATAGATCAGTCTATAGTCTTAACTTTAGATCAGTCTATAGTCTTGACTATAGATAAGTCTATAGTCTTGACTATAGATAAGTCTATAGTCTTGACTATTGATAAGTCTATAGTCTTGACTATAGATAAGTCTATAGTCTTGACTATAGATAAGTCTATAGACGAGACTATAGATAAGTCTATAGTCTTGACTATAGATAAGTCTATAGACGAGACTATAGATAAGTCTTGACTATAAATAAGTCTATAGTCTTGACTATACATAAGTCTATAGTCTTGACTATACATAAGTGTATAGTCTTGACTATAGATAAGTCTATAGACGAGACTATAGATAAGTCTATAGTCGAGACTATAGATAAGTCTACAGTCTCGACTAGACTGTATATCAGTCTATGGTCTTGACTATAGATCAGTCTTTAGTCTTGGCTATAGATCAGTCTATAGTATAGATCATTCTATAGTCTAGACTATAGATCAGTCTCTAGACTAGACTATTAGCAAGACAAATGCTGCAAACCTATAATTTATGATAATTTCTATTTTTTTTTCTAGATTTGGTTTAAGTAATCGTTTTAATACAGAATTCCCATCTGGCCTGGTATCACGAGTAGCGCCTGAAGAGTTCAAAGCCACAATTGGTCGCATTAATGGAATTCTAAAGAAAACTCTTCCTGTTAATGTTAAATGGCTATTTTGTGGCTGTGTCTGCTGCTGTTGTACCCTGGGCTGTTCCCTATGGCCCGTAATATGTTTAAGTAAAAGAGTAAGTTAAAATTCGATTTGTATAAATGAATTTCATGCATTACCCAATATTTCCTTTTAGACACAAATAACTTTGGATAAATTACTAGAATGGGAGAATAGTCATTTATATCATAAACTGGGTTTACACTGGCGCTTGCATAAACAACAATGTGATTCAAATTCCATGATGGAATATGTCATCTTAATTGAGTTTATACCGAAAACGCCTATTTATAGACCGGATTAAACTGGTGAGATTTAAAATAAGTATTAGTTTTAGTTGTTTCATTATATATATTTTTTTAATTTAGATTATTTTTTATTATAATAAATATACCTACTAAACTAATATAAAATTAATGAATAAAAAAAAATTAAATGTAATTTAAAAAGAAAGAAAAAAAGTAAATATAAAACATGTAAATGAATCATAAAAAGAAATTTAAACAAAAACATATATGTATGTACATATGTATATGTATATGGCCAAGATGTTTATTAATACATATTGATGAAATGAAATGTTGTAGAACAATTTGGAATAAATTGAAAAAATTTTATTGTGATGCATCAGCTGAAATTTAAATGAAGAAAAAATATAGAGAATTATTTTTGTATTGAACTGCATATTAGAGGGAGAAACAAATAATATTATTTTGTTATTATTAGTATGATTATCATTTAAATTTTTACTACAAATTTCTTATTTAAGTTTTACACAATTTCAGAAAAGGAATAATATTGTTGTAATTATTAGAATTAGATTTTTCAGCTATAAGCTAATAATAACGTTTAATGTCGGTATAAATAATGACAATTCTCCTTTGTGTGAGGGTGCTAAAAACGAATATTTCACTCAAATTCTACGAAAAATTATTTTAAATTAAAGAGTTTCTTGTGGCAAAAATATTAAAAAGCTCTCTTATTAAAAATAATTTTTCAATTTGAGAATACATGTCCAAATGCATGCATCGTTAAAAAAAAACACTTTTTTGGTAAAAAGCTTTTAATATTTTTCTGCAAAAGTTTTTAAAAGCTTCTTTGTAAAGTCTTAAAAGCTTCTTTGTAAAAGCCCTTTATGTTTCAAAAGTTTTTTAGAAAAGCTTTTTAAAACTTTTCAAAGTTTTTTTTTAGTAAAAAGCTTTTTAATATCTTATGTTTGAAACATTAAATGTTTTCTTTTGTTTCGTTTGTAAAAATGCTTTTAAAAGGTTTTCTTTTGTTGAAAAGTTTTATAAGTGTTTTGTTCAAAATCATTAAAAAAAATCCACTTTAAAAGCTATTCAAACCTTTTAACAATTGAATTTTCTTCTGGCTTGAGTTCTTAAGTTCGATTCGGTTTTCACAATATTTAAAACACTTCGTTTGTAAAAATACTTTTTTGGAAGAAAAGCTTTTTCAAGTTTTTTTCTGAACTATAATTTTAATGTCTCTTATGAAGCCACGTTAAAATCTATTCAAACCGTTTAACAATTGGATAAATTTTGTTCAGGTTCGAGTTCTTATGCGTTCGATGCGATTTTAACAAGATTAAAACACTTTTTCAAAAAGGGATAAAAAACTTTTAAAAGTTTTTTACTGAACTATAATTTTAATATCTCTTAAGAAGCGTATTTTTGAAAACTTTTAAAGATTTTGTGTGAAAAAGCACTTCAAAAGCTTTTGTGTGAAAAAAAAAAAAAATTTAAAGCTTTTTAAGTTTTTCTAGAAAAGCTTTTTAAGATTTTAACTTCTTTTTTGAAAAATGTTTTCTTAAAGCTTTTTTAGGAAAAGTTGTTTAAAAAGCTTTTTTGTTAAAAAGCTTGTTAAATCTGTTTAGTGAAAAAAGTTTTAAAAGCTTTTAACTATGTAGGCAGTATTTTGTTTAAAATTTTGCAATCGCCAGATAACTGTTAAGTCTAATAACCGATTTTGATAGTTGAACCTTCTCCGTGGGCTGAAAAAAATTAAAACTCATCCTCAAAAAAAAAAAAAAAAAAAAACTACAATAAAATAATAAAAACATCTTCAATATTTACAATAAACAAAAAGAAAGTTTTGCTTTTTGATTAGAGTAAAATTAATTGTAAAATAAACAATGGCTTAGCTTTAATTTAAAAAAATAAATAGGACGAAAATAAGAAAAAAAAAAACTTCTCCATAATAATTTTAAGTCTAACACTATTTATTATGTAAAACAAAATAAACTCATGAAGATAAAAAAATCTTCAAATAAAAACCTAGAAAAAACAACTACATATTATTTTCTAAAACTTATTCCTTTTGTTAACATTAAAATTTATGTTTTTGCTCTAGAAATGTTTTATATTTAGCAATTTTTTTTACTTAAGTTAATAACTAATTATACTATTAACAGTAACAGTATTTAAATATTAAACATGAAATTAAAAAAAAAAAAAGCCAGAAATCAAGAAAATGTTTAATTTACTTTCTTATAAACTTGGTAAAAGCTGACAAAATAAGGATCTCATTTAATACACAAAAGCAAACATTAATAGTTTTTGTTAAAAATTTTTTTACCAAAAATGAGATCCCCAAAATTAAAGTGTAAATATTTGAACATCCCAATTGTGATTATTTTAATAAAACTGATTTAAAAAGTAAGCACGTTTATGAGTTAAAGAAAAACAAAAATACAAAACCAATTACGTTAAAGAAAACAATATCAATGTTATATTAATTGATAAAATTAAAAAAAGAAACAAAACAAAACTCTGTAGCATACGTTATTATTACATGTAATACAAGTTTAATTTAAACAAACAAAAATAAAACAAAAACTTACAAATTAATATTAATTAAATGAAAAATTAAACATTTTTTGCCCCTCCCCCAGCCCCCTTGAAATAATGATAATAAAATGAACCTGACATTTAATGTATAAAAAATATATACAAAAGACTTTTATTGTTGCTTTCGAACACAAATGTAAGTAGACAAGTGATGGAAGGTTTATATTCTTTAAATATTTGAGTAAATAAATGATTAGTCCTGACTAAAATTCATTAGTTTAGACTAAAAGTCTGTAGTCCAGACTATATAGTCCGGTATATAGTACAAAACTATAGTTTAGTTTATATTCATGACTGTAATCTAGTCTGTAATCTAGTCTATAATCTAGTCTATAGTCTAGTCTATAATATGGTATATAGTCTAGTCTATTTTCAAGTCTATACTAGTCTATAGTCTAGACTATAGTCTAGTCTATAGTCTAGTCTATAGTCTAGTCTAGTCTAGTCTATAGTCTAGCTATAGTCTAGTCTATAGTCTAGTCTATAGTCTAGTCTATAGTCTAGTCTATAGTCTAGTCTATAGTCTAGTCTATAGTCTAGTCTATAGTCTAGTCTATAGTCTAGTCTATAGTCTAGTCTATAGTCTAGTCTATAGTCTAGTCTATAGTCTAGTCTAGTCTAGTCTATAGTCTAGTCTATAGTCTAGTCTATAGTCTAGTCTATAGTCTAGTCTATAGTCTAGTCTATAGTCTAGTCTATAGTCTAGTCTATAGTCTAGTCTATAGTCTAGTCTATAGTCTAGTCTATAGTCTAGTCTATAGTCTAGTCTATAGTCTAGTCTATAGTCTAGTCTATAGTCTAGTCTATAGTCTAGTCTATAGTCTAGTCTATAGTCTAGTCTATAGTCTAGTCTATAGTCTAGTCTATAGTCTAGTCTATAGTCTAGTCTATAGTCTAGTCTATAGTCTAGTCTATAGTCTAGTCTATAGTCTAGTCTATAGTCTAGTCTATAGTCTAGTCTATAGTCTAGTCTATAGTCTAGTCTATAGTCTAGTCTATAGTCTAGTCTATAGTCTAGTCTATAGTCTAGTCTATAGTCTAGTCTATAGTCTAGTCTATAGTCTAGTCTATAGTCTAGTCTATAGTCTAGTCTATAGTCTAGTCTATAGTCTAGTCTATAGTCTAGTCTATAGTCTAGTCTATAGTCTAGTCTATAGTCTAGTCTATAGTCTAGTCTATAGTCTAGTCTATAGTCTAGTCTATAGTCTAGTCTATAGTCTAGTCTATAGTCTAGTCTATAGTCTAGTCTATAGTCTAGTCTATAGTCTAGTCTATAGTCTAGTCTATAGTCTAGTCTATAGTCTAGTCTATAGTCTAGTCTATAGTCTAGTCTATAGTCTAGTCTATAGTCTAGTCTATTAGTCTAGTCTATAGTCTAGTCTATAGTCTAGTCTATAGTCTAGTCTATAGTCTAGTCTATAGTCTAGTCTATAGTCTAGTCTATAGTCTAGTCTATAGTCTAGTCTATAGTCTAGTCTATAGTCTAGTCTATAGTCTAGTCTATAGTCTAGTCTATAGTCTAGTCTATAGTCTAGTCTATAGTCTAGTCTATAGTCTAGTATAGTCTAGTCTATAGTCAGTCTATAGTCTAGTCTATAGTCTAGTCTATAGTCTAGTCTATAGTCTAGTCTATAGTCTAGTCTATAGTCTAGTCTATAGTCTAGTCTATAGTCTAGTCTAGTCTAGTCTATAGTCTAGTCTATAGTCTAGTCTATAGTCTAGTCTATAGTCTAGTCTATAGTCTAGTCTATAGTCTAGTCTATAGTCTAGTCTATAGTCTAGTCTATAGTCTAGTCTATAGTCTAGTCTATAGTCTAGTCTATAGTCTAGTCTATAGTCTAGTCTATAGTCTAGTCTATAGTCTAGTCTATAGTCTAGTCTATAGTCTAGTCTATAGTCTAGTCTATAGTCTAGTCTATAGTCTAGTCTATAGTCTAGTCTATAGTCTAGTCTATAGTCTAGTCTATAGTCTAGTCTATAGTCTAGTCTATAGTCTAGTCTATAGTCTAGTCTATAGTCTAGTCTATAGTCTAGTCTATAGTCTAGTCTATAGTCTAGTCTATAGTCTAGTCTATAGTCTAGTCTATAGTCTAGTCTATAGTCTAGTCTATAGTCTAGTCTATAGTCTAGTCTATAGTCTAGTCTATAGTCTAGTCTATAGTCTAGTCTATAGTCTAGTCTATAGTCTAGTCTATAGTCTAGTATAGTCTAGTCTATAGTCTAGTCTATAGTCTAGTCTATAGTCTAGTCTATAGTCTAGTCTATAGTCTAGTCTATAGTCTAGTCTATAGTCTAGTCTATAGTCTAGTCTATAGTCTAGTCTAGTCTATCTAGTCTAGTCTATAATCTAGTCTATAGTCTAGTCTAGAGTCTAGTCTATAGTCTAGTCTATGCTTTAGTCTATAGTTAAGACCATAGTATAGTCTGTAGTCTAGTCTGAAGTTCTGACTAGTCTTTAGTACAGATTACAGTCTAGTCTTTAGTGAAGCCGGCAGTCTAGTATAGACATTAATCATGAATTTACTCTAATCAAATTATGTTTATTAGTCTAGTCTAGACTTTAGACAAATTATAGTCTAGTCTGTAGTCTAGTTTGAAGTCCTGTCTAGTCTTTAGTACAGATTACAGTCTAGTTTTTAGTCGAGACTGCAGTCTAGTTTGTAGTATAGAGTGTAGTCTGTAGACCAGACTATAGTCTAGTCTTTAGTACAGTTAGTAGTTCAGCATGTAGTCTAGACTAAAGACCACATTATAGTCTATTTTTAATATATAATTTAAAAAAAAAAACAATTAAGAAAACAATAACCAAAATTTTAATTTACAATTGGGTGTATTTATTTCATATGTAAATAGATTACTTAACGGTAAACTTATAGAATATGAACAGTTTAGGGAAATAAAAGAATTCATTTAAAAATATGTATGTATGTATAGATCAAAATATACCTCTATCGATATACCTCAACAAATAACTTAAAATTATTTAGACTAAGGAAAATAAGTTACTAACAAATTAACGTATTATGCATAGAAATTAAATGAAATCAAAATATATTTATGTATTAACTAAATTAATGGAGCACTGTCTTTTAAGCAATAAGCTTTATAAGCTTTTTGTTTTTGTTGGAATGTTTACTTTTTGGAATGTTTAATAATATTAAAAGAAAATTAATTAATCTTCATTCAATTCACTGGCTACTATATGTAAAGGATTTTCTTCTTCATTATTAGAATCATTGCTATTATCTTGTTCTTCAGCTGTTAAACCATTTTCTTGCTGTTCATCAGCTGATTGTGACTGATCTTCGTCTGCCCCATCTTCCTCACCCTCCTCCTGTTCGTGGGATTGTTCATTATCTTCTTCTTCAGCTTCATCATGTTCTTCTTCATCGGCATTATTTTCCATTAGTTCTTGATCGTTTTCTTCATGTTCTTCTAACTGATCTTGCTGTTCCTCACCATCTGTATACACGTCTTCTGTATCCTGTTCCATTTCGTGCTCACCTTCATGTTCTTGATCCTGATCATCTTCCACTTCTACTTCCACCTCATCTTCATGCGCTTGTATATGATCTTCTTCCATTTCCATTTCTTCTTCCGCTTCTTGAACATGCTTGTGCTGCATTCGAACTTTTCTATTTACACTAGTAGCTTTTACAACTTGCTCTTCTCTTTCATTTGATGATTCATTTCTATTAGATTTTATGGAACCCACTAGCTGCTTAACGGAATGCATTATTTGCTGAGTTTGCTCTTGGAAAGCCTTCATTATCATCTGATCCTGTTGCATTTGGAATTTGTGCTCACGTTCAAGTAATTCATTTTGTTTCTTGAAGAAATCTCGCATCATTTCTGTTTGCATTTTACGCAATGACGAACTTAAATCGATCATCACATTTTGTAATACTTTGCCATAGCTTTGACCATCATCGAAATTGTTAAATGATTTGGAGGAATTCCTTTCTTCGTACATACTATTGTTATATTTGGTTTGTTTACCCGGTAACGGATCTTGCCACTCTAGACGCCTCTTTCGATTGACATTATTTTGCAGGATGTTTGAGTTATTTTGCATTATCAAGTGTTTGGTAGTGGGCACTTCTTCCAATCTTCTGTTAGAAGTTTTCTCTATGGCAGGTGGTGGCGGTGATAATGACGCCTCTAAATCGGGTATAGCTCTGTCGGGCCTTAAGGAATATGGAGTCTTGCGCA